TTTAACCCCCCTCCTGGCCAAGGGATGGATATTTTATTAGGAGGTACAGTCACGGTTATTCCCCATCGCTCGAGGGACGTCACCTTCATGCCGTGGGGATGGAGGTGGGGGGGTTTGAGCCCCCCCGCCTGCTCTGCCCAGGGTCGATGAGGCAGCGAAGGCAGAGTGACAGCGGCTCTGTCCCCCCCTCCATGTCGCCAAGCGAGCCCTGGGGCAGGGGATGCGGCATCTCCTCCGCTGTCACCACCGATAAACCCAGGAGCGGTGACGAGGTCTCGGCCTCGACTGCGCTGCTGTTCCTCTGCCTCATGCATGCAATGAGTTGGGCGGTCTCGGCTCCGCACCTCCCTGTCCCGGTGGGGTTTGCAGGACAGGGACAGGATCGCTGTGGCGGAGGGTGAAGCTGCCTGCAAAAGGGATCAGAGATTAGGGGCCGAGGGCAGGGACAGGCAGAGGCAACCCCTCCTGCCTGCTGGCCAGGCAGAGACCTGGTAGCACTCATCACTGCCCGGAGCAACCCCGCCTTGGTCCGACCACCTCCACCCCGAGGCACAATTCGGGACAGCCCAGGCCGAGAGGCAGCGGGAGGAGAGGGGCTGAGGGTCTCAGGCCGAGCAAAGTTCAAGGGTAAAAGACATTTTCTAGCTGAAGCTTTTAAATTTCTTTTTAGCTCTTTGTCTGATTGCCCTGTTGCAAAATCCTGGCTTTCAAAGAGCAAGACAAAAAAAAAAAAAAAAAAAAAAAAACCACACACACATACACACTTGGGATTGTTTGCATTTGCTTTGTGGTTCCTGGGTACGTAGCCACATCATTTTTCAAGATATTCTGTGCTACCATAACAGCAAGCAACTCACTTAAAGGGGAAAAAAATCCAAGATTTTTCTCTTACCACCATGACCATCGGTGGAGGGACTTTCTGGGAAAGCGATAAACGTGGCTGGATTTGCAAGCAGATCGCAGAGTTTGTGGCTGCTGCGGGCAGCGCAGCCCGGGGGGAGGCTGCTCAGAGATGGGGTGACAGCCGATGGGCGCGGGTTAGGTATGATCCAGACACCGGCCTGCCAAAACCGGGTAGGAAATGTTTTAACCCTCTTTGCCCCGAGACAAGAGGATCCCCGGGCTCCTTTCACCCACCGCCCACCCGCTGGGCCCCCCGGGGCTGGTGTTTGGGGCTCCTCGTCTCGGGGATGCTGCGGGGCTCGAGGCGGGTTGGGGGCACTTTGGTGTGCTGCTTCTCCATGCCGGGATGCAGGCGGGGGCTCGGGGCTGGAAACGTCCCAGCTCAGAGAGGGGCAAAAGCCAAAATCGCTCTTGAGCTGCATTGAGCAGTCGCAGAGCCTGAAGCATCCCGTGGGCAGCCCCAGTGGCAGGAGAAGCCATGGAGCATCTCCAGGTGTGGAGAACGGAGTTGGCCAGCTGACCTATGGGGAAAAGCCTTGTGCAAACACCCCAGCAAGTTTGCAGGACCCTAAGGGTTTCTTTGGGATTTGCTCCCTGCCCAGAAAGCCCCAAGGATGCAGGCAGGGCTGGGAGCGCGCTGCTGCTGGTGCAAGCGTGATGCCCGAGGACCTTGATGCCAGGTGGCACCAGAAAATACCCCCAAAAAACCCACTAACAGCAGGATTTAAGGCAGGGAATTTGCAGATCTGAGACTTCAGAGTGGGTTAGAGGACTTTTCCCGGAGCACGTGGGTGCCATAGGTTTGCAGCTCATCACCACCATCCCCAAGCCAGCAGCACCCCGAAATCACTGCAGCACCCTCTGGCTAAATGCAGCCACCCCAGGGACCGTGCTGTGGTTTCGTTAGCAGCTGGGAGCTGGTGGAAGCTCTCCTCCGCGTGCCGCTAATTACACAGTAACGAGCTGGATTAATT